TCATCCTTTTCCATTTTCCAACTAACCCAGCCGAGGCTCTGGCCAACCCCATTTTGGGGATTCGAGCATAGTTTTGATCAAACAAAATCAAGGCTCGACTCAGGCAAAAAAAAAAAGGCCCAACAAGTTTTTAACCAAACTGAGCTTGAGCCTCAAGTTTCGACTCGCGAGCCGACTCGACTCGGCTCGGCTCGTTGACATCCCTAATTTTACCATTCTCTTTCATTTTTCAAAAATAATGATTAAGTGTATTTGTGTCATTTTCATTATAATAATAATAATAATAATAATAATAATAATAATAATAATAAATTTTATTATTTTTAATAATATAATCAATAATAATTAAGGATTTTTTAGTTTAGTAATTATTTTCGTAAATTTAACTTAATTGTTTATAATAAATTAATAATATAATCAACTTTCGTTAATTTAATATAATATATAAAACATGTGAATAATTTAATAATCAATAACAATTCAATATATTTGTTTATTTAACGTAGCTATGATTTAGTAAATTATATAGTTATAAAATAAATAAATAAATAAATAAATAAAATTTTCTAAATAAATACATTGTCAAAAATCGAAAGAATATAATAATAAAATACTGTTCATTTGGTGTAATGGTTGGAGATTAATTTTAACTTGGTGTAAAATGGTGCAGGTTGAAGATTTCCTGATTTCTTTGTTGCAACCTCATATCTTTGAATGCTTGGGAAAAAGTTTCCAAGACGGTGCATGTTTCATAGTCCGCTCTAGTGCAAACGTCGAGGACTTAGCTATAATGTTGGCTGCTGGGCTTTATGAATTCTGAATTTCAGCCTTTCAAATCCGATAGTGTTCGGTCGTATCAGAATATTAGTTAGCTATTTAGTTTCGTAATTAGTTTGCAAATCATTTAGGCTATTGTACAATTGTCAATGTGCTGTCTAAGTAGTTCACACGAACTCTATATATACGGCTGATGTAACTCAGTTTCTTTTGAATAAGATTTCCCTCCATTTTCCAGAAGCTTCCTTCAGTTCTTCTTCTCTGATATTCCTCCAGTTCTGCTGTAATATGGTATCAGAGCAAAAGATTGCTTCCTGCTATTTTTTTTTGGAGTTTATTTCATTTCCTTTTCCCTGTGTTCTGCTCAAAGAAAGTAGATCTGTGATTTCCTGTGTTTTGCTCATTTTTCATCTTCTCCTTTTATGGCACACGTGTGTTCTAGAATCTAACAAAAGATATGCATGTGGTGTTGGAAATTTACTTATACATGCACAGCGAAATTTAAAATAATTTTCGATTCCCACCAAGAATCACCTTTGTGTTTAGATAGAAATTGTAATAAGATTATACATTTTCCAGATCTGCAAACTTTTTTGCCATTCTTTTCGTTCCAGCAATCTTGATTCGCTATCCACAGCTATCCAATTGTTCAGTCTCCAATGGTAATTCACACAGAGAACAAGATTGCAGCTACCAGAGTTTTCTCTCTTGTGCCAGCAAGAATAATGAAAACCTTATAGACCTCAAATCCTAACCATGTATTTATATAAACCCAAACGGGTTCGACCCGGTCCGGTCCAATATTTAATTAATCCAATTAATTAAACCCAGCCCGCGAATTAATCAATTTGGGAATATAAATAACAAATCCAATTAATTAATTTATCCAACGATTGTTAAATTAACCAATTGGCAATTTGCACTCTTCCAATTCTCTTTTGTGTGCGACCCATTAGGTTCCCGACCACGATGCCTAACGACGTGAAATATTATTTTGATCTAATCAAAATTGATAAATTAAAATACCATTTTAATATATTGTCAATTCACACTCGCCATCCCTGATTGACATCTAGCAATGTGTCAGGGCAATATATGTAACGAAAAATGTCACGTGATATGACAAAACCAAATTCGTTCGTTTACCGTGAAACTATAATCCCTTCGTCAATATGATCCGATCAATTACGAGATATAGAATTGTGTCAATCTCGATCATCGATCATATCTTTCACTCCACTATTTAATCAATATAAGTCGAAAACTCCTTTTCGACTTATGAGTACACCTTGGCCAAGGATTTCATCATCGACTTAATTGAATGAAACGCAGATCATAATCTCCTACTATCTAAGAGTGACGAATCCTTTATTGATCAATCACAACTTTCATACGATTCTTGACGTACCCGAACGATGTCGTATTAGCGACCCTTTTCAGAGCAACATCCAACACCGTCAAAGTATGACTGTCCTCATATAAGGTACCATGACGACCTCAAGTCAAAGGACCAATTCCACTACCGAACGTTAGAGATTAACCACTGACACTCAGATAGTTATCCATGTGGAATCTCTCGACGGGTCTCCAATGTTTTGTTCTATAACAAAACATCCACGTATTCATTTAAGTGTCACCACACTTTAACTTGTGAGATCAGCTACTTAC